TGAATTACGCATACCTAATATGATACTGTACATGTACATGATATGTACATCGCAACTTTTACTGTTAATATTGTTTTTGGATGCAGATTAATATCTTTTTTAATGTAATTTTTTAATGTACCATTGGTAGTATGTATTAAAACTGAGGGTCATTAAGTAATCAGACTATAATACTGTATTAATTGTGGGTGTTAGTAATTATTATGAAATATATTTGCTATAATACGTCCATTATGTAATCCAATGGGATTAAGTATGAGTCATTATTAAATAGGAAAGACTCTTATGAAAGAAGATGAGTTAGTCAGACTTGAAGCAGGAATAAAGAATAATAGCAAAATAATGCTATTGGGAAGAAAGGTACGTATGTCTGTATTTTGAGCAAAAATTCTTTTTAGTTACAAAATCCATAATCATGCTGTGTATGATCCACTTGTATTAATTAAAGTCAGCTATGAGGGTTTTATTACATGTTCTTGCTAATTACAAATTTTTAAGTTACATGTGCAGGTACATGTACAAATCATGCATAGTACATGCATATGCATAGAAAGTTTCTGGTAAAGGTATTACATCCACACTAACTTTGCTGTAATGCTAACTGCAAGTGCTTTAGGCTCACTCCTTAATATGTCCTACATCTTTTTACTGGAATGACTGATCCAGCTCAAGACGAGTGTCTCAAGAAGCTTGATGATATTTCAGAATCAACAAATACTATTGAGAGAAAGATTAAGAAGATTGAACAAGAGCTGGAGGGGATTGAAAAGGTACTTTCATTGCCCAGTAAATGCACATATCATCATAGATACAGTATACAACAGGGATTGGAAACGGCCCGGTATCACATGATCGTTTCCTTAACATTTCAATGAGACAACAAAAATTTTAAAAACCTAGGCATGTTACGGGTTAAAAATAGATATCCAGGGATATTCTTCAGAAAAGTCTCGAGAAAGTCATCAATATAATAACTTTTTTTTAAGATTTGAGTAGTCTCCATTCTAGGAAAACTTTGGCTGCATAAAGCTATCTTTCGAAGGTATTCTATAAACTGGTACTCTTTCCAATATACATGTATCCATTTCAGTATGATTTGAGATCTTTTCTCCCTCTAGCTTCTACATTGATGACACAACAGCTGTTATGATGAGATGTCTAGATTGATGTGACTATTATCATATGTACTGAGTGTTTTTAATCTTAATTTTCTCTTAAGCCATGTTTTATTGAGGACATCAAGAATAGTCGGACCTACGGTGAAATTTCTCCCTCTGGCAACTTCACTATGACTAATAACGAAAATCTGTGGTGTTAGTATTGTTCCCTAGGAATCTCTCCAATGTAATGAGCTACAATGAAGTGACTATTTTTGTCCTGTGGATATTTGGAAGGCTGTTTCTGCAAGTGAAGAATACTGCCGTTTATTGATTATTTTTGATAAACTTGCTATGCATGCAACTTTTATTTGATTCCAACTATTAGTTTTTACATTATAGATTTGTTATCAAGTGTCCGTGATACTCAGCGTCAAGATATGTGAAATAAACAGGGTTTGTAATTTTAACATCTATAGGGTGGCCATTTTGAATAAAATTATTAACCCGTAACGTGCATCAACCATTAATTATCTGAGTGTTTCCAATCCCTGTATAGTGTATACTGTATCTATGATACCATATAGGGGTTATATTTCACTGAAAGTAAATTTCGCAATTTTTGCATTTTAATTAAATTTGTGAACTTAAATTCCACAAAAGAGGTATGGCACACTAGGAGAAATGGCTGCAGAAGGTAGGATTTGTTAAATTTTTTGCCAACAAAATAAAACCCCTTATATGGTATACTGTACAAACTAGCACATGTGTGTCTTAAAAGGATACTGTCGCCATGTACGAAGAGCTCAGAAAAAGTAAACACAGCTACCCGGTCAAACTCACCTGTCAAAAGACACTAGCCTTTTACAGACGGCTAACTTGATGAAGAAAAATGCTGTTAAGCGCTTACCTTTTAGTTTGGTGGAGATAAACATAAGACATCATTTGTTAAAGTATCCAGAAGCAAGAATCAGAGTATAAACTGCTACTATATTACAAGATACATGTATAAACCTGCAGCAATTTTTTGGGTTTATAAACTTTCCGTGTACTCAAGCCATGCAGCTCTTCAGTAAACTGCGCCAATATCCCTTTAACTCCTATCAACATGGTACATGGTATACTTTGTTCATATTTTTTGAGTTACTCAATAGCTTAAATAATTAAACTTTCCTCTCTCTCCTTTTCTTCCTTCCCCCTCTCTCTACAGTCTGTTAGATGTACTAGCTGACAGAAAGTCAAAAGGTGGTCTAACTGGTATTGTGTTAGTTAATGGACGACCACAACCAAAATACTTTAAGTGTATGAGTGGATACGTTGTACAGGTACACCATAGTCACATGACCATCACATGATACTGTATATGCATGTAGATGTAGTTTCATTAAAATTGTTTAATTAAATGAGAAATGGGCCACAAATTTTGCCAACATTAAAAAGAGAGAGAATTCTCCATTCTATAGTTCCTTCTAATGCACATACAAGTTTTAATGTTGCGTAGAAATTTGAGTTGATTCTAATCAAAATTACAAATTTTTAAAGTTACTCAAAAATTAGGTCAAAGTCCCTGTAAATTTTGCCAAAGAAATAAAAAGGAGTGAATCTTTATTTTAATAATTTCTCTGTTACGTATGCATGTTCTTATGTTGTGTAGAAAGTTTGAGCCGATTCCGATCAAAATTAAATTTTTTATAAATTTTTAAAGTAGCCATGTACTATAATGATAGTGCTTGTCAGCTTGTGCTGTTTAGGTCACTTAGCATGCTTTGTGGGAAGCAATATATCTGTCCTGATTATAGAGGTGTCCTTATATCTTGATCTATCTTAATTATATTCATCATTGTATATTTTTATAATTTACATTCTTTTTAAAGGATGATGTCATCATGGGTACTCTCTCTGTCCGTGAGAACTTGTACTTCTCAGCTGCTCTGAGGCTACCCAACAGTATGAAGTGGGCAGAGAAGAAGAGACGAGTAGAGAAAGTTATTGGAGAGCTAGGACTAACTGGATGTGCTGATACTAAAGTAATAAAAAGAGAAAGAAATGATAGAGAGAAAAAGAAGA